AGTGTCCTTAAAGCGGGTGTGTTACGCTAACAGTGGATACGGTGACCAGTGCCACCACTTAGATCTGGTGACACAAAGCTTGTATTTAAAAACAAAAAACACTTTTTTCACTGTTATAGATTGAATAGCAGTTAGTTATCTTCAAGCGGGTGTCAGGCCTACAGCCTGTGCTCTGCACAACTGTGCCAGTGCACATTGCCACTCATATCTGGTCTCACAGTAGCTTGCACGCATAGTACCACTAATCCCAACAAAAATGACAGGCAGAGGCAGGCCACCCCGCAGGGGCCATCGTGGTCGTGGTGCTGTGATTCCCTTTGGCCCTAGAATAATGCCCAGTTTTCAGAGGCCACGTACCCTGAACTTGAAAAGTTCTGAGGACATAGTTGACTGGCTAACACAGGACACCCAATCTTCTACAGCCTCCGCTCAGAACCTTGACGCACCATCCTCCTCCAGCTTAGCTTCAGGCACCTCTCAAGATACCACTCACCCGCCTGCCGCCACCACCAAAACTAGCACCACAGCCGCTTCAGTTGGTATGTCAGAGGAGTTATTCACACATCCGTTTGAAGAAATGAGTGATGCGCAACCATTATTGCCAGAGGATGTAGATAACAGGGATATGTCTCAGGCAGGCAGCATTACACACATGGACGTACGGTGTGATGATGATGATGATGTTGTACCCGCTGCTGCTTCCTTTGCTGAGTTGTCAGATACAAGTGAAGCGGTTGATGATGACGATGCGTCCATGGATGTCACGTGGGTGCCCGCTCGTCAAGAAGAAGAACAGGGCGAAAGTTCAGATGGGGAGACAGGGAGGAGGAGGAGACGAGTTGGAAGCAGGGGGAGGTCGTCGCAAGGAGCTAGTGGCACAGTCAGACAGCATGCATCGACACCCGGGGTCAGCCCGACAGCACGCCAATCAACGCATGCTGTGTCCACCACCAGAATGCCGTCATTGCAGAGCTCAGCAGTGTGGAATTTTTTTTGTGTGTCTGCCTCTGACAACAGCGATGCCATTTGCAACCTGTGCCAAAAGAAACTGAGTCGTGGGAAGTCCAACACCCACCTAGGTACAACTGCTTTGCGTAGGCACATGATCTCACATCACAGACGCCTATGGGATCAACACATGAGTACAAGCAGCTCGCCTACTCTAAGCCGCCAGCCTCCTCCTGGTCCAGCATCTTCAGCCACGTCAACCACTGCTGTCCTCCTTGTCCCCTCTCAACCATCCGCCACTCCGCCTCCCGCCTTGAGCAGTTCACGCTCATCTTCCTACAGTCATGTGTCTGTCAAGGACATGTTTGAGCGTAAGAAGACAATGTCAGAAAGTCACCCCCTTGCCCAGCGTCTGACTGCTGGCTTGTCCGAACTATTAGCCCGCCAGCTTTTACCATACAAGCTGGTGGAGTCTGAGGCGTTCAAAAAATTTGTAGCTATTGGGACACCGCAGTGGAAGGTACCCGGCCGAAATTACTTTTCGCAAAAGGCAATCCCCAACCTGTACTCAATTGTGCAAAAGGAAGTAATAGCATCTCTGGCACACAGTGTTGGGGCAAGGGTCCATCTGACCACTGATACCTGGTCTGTAAAGCATGGTCAGGGCAGGTATATCACCTACACTGCGCATTGGGCAAACCTGCTGACGGCTGCCAAGCATGGAATGCGTGGCTCTGCAGAGGAGTTGGTGACACCGCCGCGACTTGCAGGCAGGCCTGCTGCCACCTCCTCTACTCCTCCTACTCCATCCTCTTCCATAACCTCCTCGGCTGAGTCCTCTTCTGCTGCTGCGTCTTGCTCCACATCAGCGGATAGGGGACGTAACAGGGATTAAACTGATAAGAATAGTACTACTTAACACACCACTCCTATCTGGTGGCACATTAGATTGCACGCGCAGTGCCCCAAATTTGTTGTGATCTGTGAGTAAGGTAAACAGTTGTCATACAAGTAGGTTGCAGCTTTTTGAGGGCCCACACCACCGCTATGCACTCCTTTTCAATGGCAGTGAATATACTTCACTGTGCAAAAGTTTACGGCTTAGATAAGCCCCGGGTTGCTAGCCACCATCTGCTCCGACTTGGCTCAATACTGCTCCCAATCCAAGCATAGAAGCGTCTGTATGGACGAGAAAGTGTTTAGTTGGATCAGGAGAAGAAAGTACAGGTGATTTAATGGGCGCCGTCTTGAGCTGTTGGAAGGCCTGTTCACATTCTGGGGCCCATACTACTATCTTGGGGAGGTTTTTACACGTTCCTATATGGCACTTACTGGGCTTTAGGGTCAGTCAGGACTCCCTAATCCGGTCTATTACGGCTCCTATGTGGGTCAGGTGTTCGGGCCAGGAGCTGCTAAAATGTCTATACCATCCAAGTAGGTGTGTATCAGTGTGTATCAGGGATCCTTAGGACAGGTGTCAATCCATATCTGCCAAGTGACCCTATGTTGGAGGAACAGTCCCTATTCTGCTCTGTGTCAGTGTGTATCATGGTCTCTGAGGACAGGTGTCAATCCATATCTGCCAAGTGATCCTATGTAGGAGGAACAGTCCCTATTCTGCTCTGTGTCAGTGTGTATCAGGGAACCTTAGGACAGGTGTCAATCCATATCTGCCAAGTGACCCGATGTAGGAGGAACAGTCCCTATTCTGATCTGTGTCAGTGTGTATCAGGGATCCCTAGGACAGGTGTCAATCCATATCTGCCAAGTGACCCTATGTAAAAAAGGCCTGATGAGATGAGCTGCCTTGGGCTAAAATGGTCCACACGCTGCTGTATTTTAGCTCTGAATGCCTGTTGACTTGCGTGACTTATCCGCCACCAACTTGGGTTCAAGCCGCCAGTGTGTACTTTATAAATGGCTTTATAAAGCAGTGTGTACTTTATAAATGGCTCCACCTGCCACCCGTACAGCAACACAGTCTCCAGTTAGGAGAACCAACCAAGCATCTTCTTCCATCTGCCTGTTACAGAAATTACTGCCGTGTACACGACCACTGATAGGAGACGCGGAAGGTATTAAACTGATAAAAATAGTACTAAACACACCACTCCTATCTGGTGTCACATTAGCTTGACCGCGCAGTGCCCCAAATTTGCAGTAAGAGGACCGACCAAGCCTCTTCTTCCATTTCCCTGTTACAAAAATCAAAGCCGTGTACACGTCCACTGATAGGAGACGCGGAAGGTATTAAACTGATAAAAATAGTACTAAATACACCACTCCTATCTGGTGTCACATTAGCTTGACCGCGCAGTGCCCCAAATTTGCAGTAAGAGCACCGACCAAGCCTCTTCTTCCATCTCCCTGTTACAAAAATCAATGCCGTGTACACGTCCACTGATAGGAGACGCGGAAGGTTAAACTGATCAGAACAATACTAAACACACCACAAATAAGGTTTCTCTCCTGTATGGCTCCTCAAATGATGCTTAAGATTAGAAGCGGCTGAAAATTATTTCTCACACTCCGAACAAAAAATATATTTTTAACATTCTCTCCACTTTGAACGAAATGACGTTTGGGAAGAGTTTAACATACTTAAACACAGGCAGTAAAAATACAGTTTTTAGCCATACACTGTAACTTTAAAACTACACATCCCATCTTCATAACAATTACATATTTGGAATCAGCACACTTAAAACATAAACATAACCAAAAATCAGCCAAATCCATCCAGGGGTTAAAAAGTTAGCTGGAGGTCCCTTTATGACCGACCTTAGCTTCATTTCCTGCTTGAAACAGTTCCATGGAGTTTGGGCTGTGAAGGAGTCAGTCTATTTCAGGCTGAAAAAAGACTAAGTCCCATCGCCGAATGGGACTTAGTCTCTGCAACTGAAATAATTTCCCATTTACTGAACCAAGTGGGAAATAGCAAGGCAGGCACAAAGGGTTTGCACCAGGTCTGGGGACACAGGGGACACCGTCTTAAAGGGGCAGTGTCCCCAACAAGTCTGGGGACACGGCCTTAAAGGGGCAGTGTCCCAATCTTCCTGATGTCCCAAAAAAGGTGTTTAAAGGGCCAGCACCAGTCACATAAAGAGTCCATAAGCCCCAATATGCCCACTGACAGTCTTAAAGGGCCATACACACCAAATAAAAGTGCATACATTTTCACAATCTCCCAGGGGCCATAGTCATGCGGGAGGAGGCTGGCAAATAGGCTTCTCCACAACCCAGGGAAGCAGGGCAATTTGCCATTTAAAGGGCCCGTTACAAATAGCAGTTTGTAACAAGGTGTCAATCCATATCTGCCAAGTGACCGATGTGGGGGACAGTCCTATTCTGCTCTGTGTCAGTGTGTATCAGGAACCTTAGGACAGGTGTCAATCCATATCTGCCAAGTGACCCGATGTAGGGGGAACAGTCCCTATTCTGCTCTGTGTCAGTGTGTATCAGGGATCCTTAGGACAGGTGTCAATCCATATCTGCCAAGTGACCCGATGTTGGGGTAACATTCCCTATTCTGCTCTGTGTCAGTGTGTATCAGGGATCCTTAGGACAGGTGTCAATCCATATCTGCCAAGTGACCCGATGTAGGGGGAACAGTCCCTATTCTGCTCTGTGTCAGTGTGTATCAGGGATCCTTAGGACAGGTGTCAATCCATATCTGCCAAGTGACCCTATGTAGGGGACCAGTCTCTATTCTGCTCTGTGTCCGTGTGCATCAGGGGCTCTGAGGACAGTTGTCAATCCATATGTCAAGGTGTCAATATGTCATATGTCAGGTGTCAATCCATATTGATTGTGATTTAGGAATGTTAGGTGATTTCTGCCCTATATGGATTAAAACCAGACTCTGTATCAACTGTGTAATTTTCCATGGGAGTTTTGCCATGGATCCCCCTCCGGCATGCCACAGTCCAGGTGTTAGTCCCCTTGAAACAACTTTTCCATCCCTATTGTGGCCAGAAAGAGTCCCTGTGTGTTTTAAAATTCGCCTCCCCATTGAAGTCAATGGCGTTTCGGGTTCGCGACATCACTATTCTTCAATACTTCCAGTTGAGAAGGAGTACATTGTAGTGCAGAAAGCACAACATTTCTGCATGTTCTCCTGTTAAACGGTTTCTGTTTCTTTCATAGATTGCAGACACTTCACTGAAAACACGCTCACTAGGTACAGAGGAGGGTGGATAGCAAAGGTATCTTCTGGCATAAGAAGCAAGGGTTTTAAAGTGTGTCTCATTTTCTTTCCACCACTCAAGTGGATTGCCCTTTCTATTGATCACTGGTTCTTTCAAATAAAGATGAAGCTCATTGTCAAGGCTGACTTTTGGTAAAGTTAGAGTATCCTCTACATGAGGCCCCAATAAAACGCTGAACATGGCATCAATTTGGCCATGTTTAAGACTTTTTTCCATGTGTTTCCTTTTTGGGAATTTGTAGGTTTCTGTTGCATCATCATCCTGCTCTTCCAGACTAGTACTACTAGTAGCATGCTCTTCCAGACTAGTACTACTAGTAGCATGCTCTTCCAGAAAATCCAGATTAGTAGCTCCAGGCTCTTCCTGATGTGACCTTTCTAGAACCTGCACCTCCTTTTGCATATCTTCTGTCAGCCATTCTTTTGCCTTGGCCAACACATTATCAGAAGAGAAAGCATGATGTTTGAATCAAGGATCTAAAAGACATGCCAAAACTACGTTTATATTCTCTTCATACTTCAAAAAACGTTTGTTGAAGCTTTCCTTCATGACCTCCCTGAGTGTTTTAATGCCACGTGTAGTGGACCCTTCATTCTCTTGAAGAAGCATCTTCAGCACTCTCACACATGGAATAACGGATGACACACTTGAGTCGTTATGGCTAACCTCTAGTGTCACTTCCTCTATTGGGAGGAGGGTCTGAATAAGATTTGCTACAATCTCCCGCTGATCAGCATTAGGGCAAGAATAGCCTCCATGCTCACCAGCATAGATGCTAAGAGCTCGCTTCTGTTCCAGCATTCTTTGTAGCATGTGGAGTGTGGAGTTCCATCGTGTTGGAACAGCCTGAATCAGGCTGCTTTTGGGCAGGCCAAGGTCTGACTGAATGCACCTCAGTCGGTGCTTGGCAATGAATGAATGGTGAAAATGACTTGCGCACTTCTTTAGCATGGCACTTATGTCGATCACAGCTCTCTGGCTTGACAGACCATCATTTACTACAAGTTGTAGGGTGTGTGCCATGCAGCTGAGATCTGACACTTCAGCAAGCCTCATTCCTTTCACCATGTTTGCTCCGCTGTCTCGAAGCACAAGCAGCACTCTATCTTTGCTTATACCCCAGTCATCAAGCATGCCTAGAAACATTTCTTTAATGTACTCGCCAGTGTGGGATCCTTGCATCACCTTTGTGTTCAACACCAACTGCCTTTTTGTCCATCCATTATCAATGAAGTGACACGTAAGACTCATTAGTGATTCTGTTGATCCGGACCAGCAGTCGGTAGTGAATGAGAGTGAATTGCCAGCGTTCTCTGGTTGTAACATTGTTTTTACTTTCTGTATCACCTTCTGATGAATCTTTGGCAGCATTTCGGTCCTGTAAAACTTTTCATTTTTCAGTGTGTACCTTGGCTCAACTATGGACATCAAGCGCTTAAAGCCAGAATCAGACACCATTGTAAATGGCTGGTTATCCGTAACCATCATCTCTGTGATTGCTCTGTCCAGAAGTTGGGATCTTTCATCGGACTTTTGCCACTTTGTGTGTCTCTGAAATAGGTCTTTTATTTTTGGCTGGAATAGAGTTGGTGTTTCACATGATTCCTTTTCTTTTGTTTTCTGTGCTTCATTAATTAATTCAACATGATAAATTCTTAGATGGGTCCAAAGATTTGATGTATTCTTTGTTTTTGCAGTTGCAGATCCCATGCTCACATTGGTTTTGCATGTGTTGCACATTGCCTGTCCTGGGGAGGGTTGACTAAAATAGTCCCAAACTATGCTTTTACTTTTTCTTAGTGCATCCATCTGCATTGAAAGAAGAGGGTTACAACAAGCTACAGTGAGGTTTAGAGTAAGTTGTGGATGAAAAAAAAATAAAAAAAATATCTATTAATATGAATATGAGATCCCAGCATGTACCTGGCTGTTACTGATGCTGATGGCAGTGTAAATGCTGTCAGCAGTCATACTCCTGTCATGCTCATCTGGCCAGTACATACTGGGATGTATGACTACTAGTGCTATTAGCCTTTTACTTATTGGACTTGGAGCAGCACAGATTAAGTAAAGCACACACACAATCCAGTGACTGTTGTGTTTACATTTCACAAAGCTAAAAGCACCTATAATCAATTCTTAGCTAAGAAATATGTGGATAAGGGGAGTGTAAGTAAAATATATTTATATATAACAATAAAGGCTTGTGTTGACTTCATTACTACTTTATATTAATTGCATGAAGAAAATCACTGACCACAATGCTACAATAGTATTATTGGTGTGTGTGGCAAACCTAGCCACTTAGACTATAACTAGAGACTGTGCCTTTAAGGGTTGCCTATAGGTCTGGGGAGATATGCGCTTTACTCTTATGTGTATGCTTAATGTATTCTCTGCATTGTCTGTAATTGCTGTTTCCGTCGAATGCAAATGGCGGTTTTGTATGGGGATTTGCTTTCGTTTCACGAACGGCACTTTGGAGAGCCGTTCGTGAACCGAACGCGATACCCCCTAATAGCCCACACACTTAGAGGCGTGTGGCGCTAGTTAACCGATTGCAACATTGTTGCAATCGGTTATTAGAGGCTCTCCTGGGTGGCCGTCGTTCGACTACCGACCATGCGGCGGTCGGCCATCTTGGATCCTTTGTTCCTCAGCGGTGCCGGGTCGTCGAACGCATAGTGCTACCAATAGCTATTCGACGGCACGAACACCGCTGAGCCTCCAGGACGTTCGGGAGTTTCAGGATCTAGTTAACTAAAAGCAATCGGTCCTTTTTGTATGTTTTAGAAGAAATGTGTTTTTCATGCGGCGTTCGGTTATTTTAGCTGGGATCTGAGCGGTAATCTCACGAATGATGCGCTCAGACCCCAGCTATCTACCGAACGTCCATTCGTGTAAATCAACCGTGTATTTAACAAGTTATGTATTTTTGTTTAAATTGTCGGTTCTGCTGCACGAGGGGATAATCCACTTAACGGTGCATTCTGGGAAGATGATCCCTCTCGTGCAGCAGTGCCTGGTGGGAGAAATGTGCTGTACTGTAAGTCCCCCATGTAGTCCCCTCTGGGAGTGCCCCTGAGAAGGGACTCAGGAAACCCCTTGCATGGGGACTTGTATAAATTGTCCAGCCGATTAAAAGGATTTCAGTTGACTCCCAAAACTGTGTCTCGTCCGGTTATTGGGAGGTTGGGGATATTGCCTCTTGTTTCAGCGCTTGACTGTGGATTCGTTTCTGAACCAGCGGAATTCGTGGATTTATTATTGGCGTTCCGCTACAGTGTGCGTGATTTTATTGCATTTAATATTATGGGGTGATTTGAAAATGAAATGTGGTATTATAAATAATTAAATTTAATACGCACAGCAGAGGGGTAGACTAGACTATATAATATATTAAAATTATTTCAGCAAAAATATTTTCTCTACACACAGACCGCATTATTAATAATAATACTGTCTGTGTGTAGAGGAAATATTTTTGCTGAAATCATTTCAATATTATTTACTAGCACTAGTCAGTTGTCCCCAAACTCACTTTCTCATCTACCTTGATCTGTGCTCCGGATACTTCTGGCGCTCGGCTCACAGCAGGGAGGGGTGATGATGATGATGACGTAAAGCCTCTTTGGCTGGCGGCTAGACGTGGAAGAAGGAGTGCTGTGAAGGTAAGTATTGAATGTTACAAAGAGCACTGTGGTGGTTGACCGGTTGTAGCTCTGGTTGATATCAGACAGAAACATCAGTCACACCTTCTGTCTATGGTTTGGTGCTATTACTACTGAGTTCTAGTTGTAGCAGTAGTAGTAGTAGTATTTTTTTATCCGACCTTAAATTTCAATCAGTTCTGGACTTTATAATACTTACACAAATTAAACGCCATATTGATAAAGTGTAATGAATTCCTTCTGAATGTAATACTTAATAATTTGCACAGTACTTGGTGTGGGAGCATTTTAGTATACTACCCCCACTCCCCAGTGCTTTATCATTTTTATTGTGCCAAATTGCCAATATACTACCCAAGGGCTTTATTATTATATCATTTATATAAATCTAATGCAAACAATTACACCCAGAGCTTTATTATAATATATACTATAGTGCAATTCTATATTTTCCAGCAGCAGCACCAGCCCTCCCCCCGACTGACTACCAAGGCCGGCTTGCTTCTTTATTATAATTTATATTGGTGCCACTGCCAAATGCCAATATCCACCACCACCCCCTCCCACCCCCTCACTGACCACCAACTAATTGCTTTATTAGTGAGGTGGGGGTAGGGAGTGGTTAAATTTGGCATTTGGCAAAATTTGCACTAGTATATTATAAATTATAAATTAATAAAGCTCTTAGTTGGTACTGGTAGTCAATCTATAATATACTAGTGCCAAATGTCAATTTCCACCACCATCCCCCCTCCCCCTGAATTGAACTTCCAGTTCCAATTCAAACCAAGGGATTAATTATAATTTAAGATGCCAAAGTGCCACTGCAAAATGCAAATATAGTTAGTGTGCCACCATGTGGCATCCGACCACCACCACCCCTCCCCCACCTCACCGACTAACCTCTGAAAAAAAACAATCAACATAGTATAAAAAAAAAAAAATCATAGATAAATATCATAAAATAAAATTACCTTTTTAGTAGACCATAAAAGGTGGCAAATCAAGCGATCCAACTGGGCTGGCAGTGGCACACAAGCGGCAGAGCAGACAACTGGGCTGGCACACGACACTGACTGAAGCCACTCCTCCAGACAGCACTACTTCAGGGCCGGGACTTCAGCTCCTCTCCCGCGATTCGTGCGCACACCTTTTTTTTGCTGTGCGGAGCAGCAAGACTTAAAGATGGATTGGGGGCGCACACGCTGGACGCATTATCAGCATTATCGGCAAAGTTAGATGCCGATACCGATAACTTAGGAAACTGTGAATATCGGCCGATAATATCGGTTAATCCGATAATCGGTCGATCCCTAATATAGATACATATATATAATTACATAAATAACTACATAAGTATACACATAGAATTTAAATACATATGTATATAAAAATTCTACGTGTATGCTTAACTAATATTTTAACATAATTATATGATTTGAATTAATTAAAATTTGATTGACGTGCTTGACAACACATGCCGCAAGTGCAGAGAATTACATTTGCACGCACTATATTTAACCCTGTAACTTTCCACCATAAAACCTGTACATGGGGAGGTACTGTTTTATTCGGGAGACTAAGCTGAACACAAATATTAGTGTTTCAAAATGATAAATTGTATTACAACGATTATATATTTAGTAAAAGTGACATTTTTTACATTTTTATTTATTTAGTAAATATTGTTTTTATTTGCAGTTCAAATAATAACAGGCAGCATTGAGTCTAGTAACAATGCAATGCGTCAAGATAACTAGGCACATCGGCCTGCAACAATAGTGGACTCGCAGGTCCTTCATTTGGTCTTCTAGCAGTTCCTGTTTATTGAATAAATTCTAGTTTTAGTGTCCATTTGCGGTGAGTTACAGTTAAGGGTGCATGATCACATCCAGCAGGGTAGTCTATTGTGATCCCAGTTTTATTTTCCTGTTGTCTTAAACTTCTCTCCCTTACTGGTGCCTAGTGGTGTCGTACGGGTAACTCAGTCCATCTCTGCACCGTCATCTGTAATGCTGTGGGTGTTTCGTGGCTTCAGCTGAGGGTCTTTACTACACTGGTGCGTGTTGATCGCTATGTCCGTGCGTCTCTGTGTCAAGGTTACGTTCAGTTTTATGTGGTCCCTGTCTCATCCCCACGGGTCAGGGTCGTGTAATCTTGCTCCAGGTTGAAGTTGACCATAACTGTTATGGGCAAATGTAAATATTACAAGTTTAAGAATGAAATGTTGTATTTCTTAAACTGTGTACTTTGTCTTTAAGAGATATTGCAAACGGACAAGGTGTTAGAAATGGAACATATTGTTTTTCATAACTATTTCTTTAAGCAATAATCTCAGTGCATAAAATGTTTGCGCCATTTTGTCCCAGACAAATTACAATAACAATAATGCATATACAGGCTTCAAGGCTATGCTATTACTCTTTCAGTACACAATATACTGTGGTAAGATTAAGTAGATAAGGATGTCCAGACTTTAAGATGCCATCTTGAACTAAGTCCGGAAAATTTCCATGACGTATACACCCTTTAGTTATGGCCTTGTATGTTTGCCAAGTTAAGGGAGGTCCTAAAATGAATAAAGTAAAAAAGTTACTTTTTTATATATGAACTACAGTGACCTTAAAATGGAGACACCTAAGGTATAAATAGGTGTATTTTTAAATGTTAAGACACAGAGGAGAGACTTGGAGACAGACGCTGCTCCATCTTAAAATGACAGAGAGGATGACATGTTCAGAAGGGTA